GCTTGCCTGGTTGTTCTCAAAAGCAAAAATATGCCAAACAAAAGCAAACTGGTATAAAATCAAGCACATCCTGAAAGTAAGAGCTTATTCTCATGCAGTGATAACATAAAATAATACATAAAAACATTGCAATTAAATATTTATTTGGATGTCCAAATTGGTGGTTCTTGATGGGGTTTTTTCACACATGTAATGATGCAACAGCTCTAGTCTACATGTATGTTTTCTGCAATAACAAGTAGCTCCCCACGTCATCTGTAACATGAGTACGACCATGATGTCAGAAGGTTTCTCTCTAAGAACTTAACTAGTTTTGCATTTCCTTAAAAAAGTGGCTGCTGGGCCTTGAAAGGAACAGAAACATACAACTAAATGGATAATGAGGGGTACTGACTTTCACCAATTAAGCCCAAGGCAACATCTTGGTGTATTTCAGCAAGCTGCCCACGGAGCTGCCCTGGTTTCACTCTGCCTTGGACTTATCACTGCAAAGGTCTCACGGACCAGGGCAGAGCGGTCTCTGCTAGTCTCAGTTGGGCTGCCAACTCGCAAGACCTGCAAGAGGGCTGTCTGGCAGCCTTCACAGCGTCTAAAAGACAGTGTGAGCTTTCACATGCATTTTCCTGTTTCCCAGAGAATCTGTGAGCACAGTGAGCTTGAGCATCAGTCTTTATATTTAGTTTACTGACAAAAGCCAGTTGGTGTTTTGTCAAAATAGCAAAACAGCTGTAAAATATGTCTGCGCTTGCTTAACGAGGCTCACAAACTCTAATTTACAAGCAGAGCCAGATGAAACGGTGGCAAAAACAGCTTCATCAAGCGTGGCTAGGAGTTAAACTCGTAGCTCGCAAGCATCTATTCTCGCATTATATGCAGATAAAGAAGCTGTGGAAGACCAAGTCATCCAGATTGGTTACTCTATTAAGGGTCACTACACATTTTGTATATTTAACTTTCAAATTTTCCATATTCTCAAAGATGGATGGATGGACGGACGGGTGGACGGGCTATCAGTCGAAAATACAAATATTTCTTTCCGTATCAATCCAGACTTGAAACAAAGTGCAAACAACATTCCATACTTTCTTAGACTTTTCCAGACTGCAGAGGAACCTTATGTTTGACAAGGAAGATTTTTGGTGAAAATATCCCCGTTCAGGTATGCTGACAACCAAAATTGAATAACATTGTAACAACAAATGCTTGGCATATTTTGGGGATATTACTTGCTTCCAAAGGCCAAAGAAAATCGATGGCGTATTTCACCATGAAGTTCTGGTTTCTCTTCCTTCAATTTAAGCTTCCACACTTCAAGTGAAAATTGATGTGACAGCTTCATGAAACGGAGGAATTCATTTTTTAATCTTTCTCACCACAAAGAAGATAACCTCAGTCCCACTCTGTGATACATTGTGTGTTTTTCTTTGGCTCTGCCAGTTTGACTTATAAGTAAGTCTCCATTTTGATGGGGTCTTCTATCGTGCTCATCTTTGGTTATTAATATGTGCATAGAAAAGTCGAACCGAGGAATATTTCCCCTCTCTAGTCACTAGCTATCTGCTTCTCTTGAGACTAAATATGAGTGGCTTGCGTCCCAACACTATGGCTCGCAGTTAAACTGGGAATAAAAATACCTTTGTTTCCAATTCTGGTAATTACTGCTCTGTCTCACTTCCCTCTCACCCAGTTTGTTTTAAACCACTAATAAGATTCCAGTCCATTAGTTTTGAAATTAATTACACATTTCTTGCTGAATCTGAATGTGGCTAATATTAGGCAGTTATCTCTTGACAGCTCATGTGCCGGCTTCATAATTAGTGTTTTTTTCACTATGCTGTAAGGATTTTTTTATACCTGACATTAACACCTGGACAGTTTCTTTACTCCAGCACCAACAAACTAACTACAGTAGAGAAAAATGCTGATGACCAAATGCTCTGTGAAGAATCCAAAACTCTAGATATTTTTATGTATACACTAAAACTGAAAACCCCCTCTCTAGGACAAGAAATGACACCCATAGTTATTATATTTTATCTATTTTTTATTGTCAAAGATAAGATGAATGAATATGTTTCAGCTATGGTTTAACAGAACTAATTTAATTTAGGGAGAAAAAGAGACAAGATTAGCAAAGATCCCACATGTACAACTACAGATAAGCAACATAAATCCAATCATTTTAAGGGAGGATTCAACCTTTGGTAACAGACTGAGTTCACATGAAGGCATTTTTCTTTTTTTTTTATTGGTTGTTTTTCTTCCTTTCTTTCTGAAAAGTATGGAAATCCTTTGTTTTCTGTCTACTACAAAAGCTGAGTTTAATATAAAGTAATGAGCACACAACTGTTTCAATAAAAAGCAAACAGTGCAAAACCAAAAATAAAACAAATAGAGAAAAAGCCCTTCCAGGTATTAAGGTATTTGCCTCTCTTCCTTTTTAAAAGTCACAAATTCACAAACCCTTTTGTGACACACTAGAGAACAGATTTAAGTTGTCAACCAGCTGTTGTATAACAGATGAAGGAGATGAAATTCAAATATTTGGAGACATAATTGGCTACATTTTCTTTAGCAACTTATGCAAAGGACCATAGATCGGCCAAGAAAAATACCACCAATCACTACAACTCTGGTAAGGGTGTTTTGGAAACGGTGTTAGCAACAGGTGTTGGGGGGCGGGGGGAGAAGCTGCAGCTAGAGATTTTTTCGAGTTTCTTTTGCTTTTTTAGAAACAGCTCATTTTAACCTTAAATTGTTAAAGCGAATCCAGTAAAGCCTGAACTAGAAGTTTGTACAACAGTTTTACTCTGACAATTTCAAATCTGCGAACCCAAATTGTATCTGTGAAAAAACACAAAAGTGATATCTGTGCTCATTTTGCTGTTATAGCCACTTAGATGAACCTCATTGAAAACTACAGTCATTTTCAATGCCAAATCCAAAGTTAGTTATTCTACGCAGATCAAGGATAATTTAAAACAATTAGTTTTTTGTGAGGCATTTTAAATGTCTAACAAATACGGAAATGTGATTCTTAGTTTCTTTAGCTTTACTGTTTACATTTTTGTTCTCATAAGCCCTGCACTTTGAATCCTCTTGTCTCATGAGTATAAAGTTATATTGACAATAAAAAACAGATCACAACTTTTGTTATTCAGTCTTCATGTCGCCCTGCCAGTAAGTATAAATTCTGCTCCTGTATTCAAAAGGAGATAACTATATAACTATGACAAATTATATTAAAAAGCAATATGGATAACTTATGTGAAAAGCAAAGCAATACAATTTAAACAATGTTATCTTTAGCTTGATTTCAGATTAAATTGGGTAAAACATAAATAGGTGATGCTCTCCTTGTGCCTGATTTATTGGGAGTTAAAGCATTAAATAATGCAAAGTAATTAATCTGTACTCCTCCAAAAAAGGATTAAGACTTACATAAATAATTTACAGTATATTTCTGAAATGTATCTGCAATTTTATATCCATGTGGGTATAGAACCTTTTTTTTTGTTTTTACTGATGGATTGACTCTTGGTGGGATGTGCTGATCTTCTAAACTTGACTTTTAACTATATTTCTGTGACTTCATGTCTGTTGCAAACAGAACAAAAGTTTTCCAGATCACAATATTATTAAACTCTAACCATTACTCAAAAACTGATGAGATGTTTATCCTGGTGTCATTGTAAATCTACAGATCCACACCATTAAACATCCATTCGTTATTGTTGCATGGATGCTGATGTACGGTGTCCATCTCTAGGATTCATTGGATAAGGGTGAGTGGGTCACCAGTCCAGCACGGGGCAACACATGAACACACAAGACAAATAACTATGGACACACATTCACAGGGAGACATATTAGCAGTCATATTTTGTACGGTGGGAGAAAGCCTGAGTAACAGGATACCTGGACACAACTCACACATCCACAGAAGAGCATGCATGCAGAAAGACCCCTGGCTGGTATTTGAACCCATGGCCTACTTGCTGCAAGGCAACAGCGCTCACAAATGTTCCACTGTGCAGTCCTATTAAAAAAAAAAAAAAAAAACTGTGACTTTTACTTTAGATAAATCAGACATGCTTTCCGTGAAAGTATCTCCCAAAAAAAAAAACAAAAAAAAAAAAACAATCTCTTCTGAAAACTGTGTTGTGCCAACTATCTAAGATAATGCAACGTGACAATTAAAGCTGGAGGCTGGACTATAACTTTCCCCTAATGACCGTGAGTTATTGATTGGATTCAATCTGACACCGTGTAGAGCCTATAAGCAGAAAGAGCCATCTGTTTTAAAAGAGATTCTAATTGTTGAAAATGTCTCCTAATAAAAGAACATTTTGTACGAAATTTTAAACATCGCTATTTTTCTACATAAAGCAGCTCAGATGGGGCTCGGGTGTGACATTTAACCTTACGTTTGACTTGCACGACTCTCATAAAGTTCTCTCTTGCTTAGAGTCATATGGACAACCATCCTGTCTCCTACAGGCTGACAGATGCAACATAAACACATACACACAGTCACATTTCTTCACTTCAATAAATTAGTTTGATGTTACATGAACGTCCTGCGGACATCGCAGAATGTAACAGCTGACAAAACTTAAGCTTTTTTTTTTTTTTTTCCCATAAGGCAATCTAAGTGAGGCATCAAATCTGATTTGGAGGACTTTGCTGAAGATCGAGTTCAAGTAGAGATGAAGATCTGGAAAACACTTAAAGTTTTAACTTTAGGAAGGAAATGCGTTTCTCTGAAACATGAGCAACAAAAACAAAGACCACACAGACCAAATCTGTCATGTAATCATGAAATCATTTCTCCTCGCGGATGGTGACTCATCTTTTGTCCCTGGCGAACTCGTATCTGGCAATGAGGTCGCAAGACATTTTATATGATGCAGCGTGCCACTTTACAGGGCACCACTCACCACATGGGGAGCACCTCACTAAAAACAGCGCATACCTACAGCTGGTTAAAATGAGCAGACAGCCTCTCACAGCATAAAGATGTGAAAAAAATAAATAAATAAAAAATAAATAAATAAATAAAAAGAAACATGATATTATTATCTCTGTGCTATTCTGAGGGACATATCATCTACTATGTGTGTTTTAACTGTGAAAATCACCTCACTGCCAGAAATGTTCTTACTTATTTCGCTAGTGTATTTACAGTAGAGTTGTGGGATTTTCTATATCTTAGGGAAGCTTTAGTATGCACCGGACGTCAGTCATTAAAATAACGTCTAACCTAATAAAACTGGGCGTGGTGGACCTAAAATAATCAATGCTTGTTTTTAATTTAACTGTATGTAATGAGACAGAGGCTGCGTCATCCACACAGATTTCCAGGGGACGAATCTCCTCCAGCATCAGGTGTTAGTCAGTGACCTGAACCTCATTTCAAAGCCTTAGAGGAAAGTGATAGTGGGTGACTCCTGGATACATCAAAACCTATTATTTATCGTGATAGCAGAGGGGGCTTGTGTCATTACCCACTGTCTGCTCTCTAATTCTTCCCCCTGCCATGACACGTCTGTTTTGCAGTCACAGACAGCAAAAAAAGAAAAAAAAAAAAAAAAAAAAACCCTCATTGCAAGGGCTTCCCAACATTGTGACCTTGTGCGTATGTTCTCGAGTCACCTCATGGGAACAGACCCGAACACAGCGCATCCAAATCGAGCACAACAAGTGCCCAAGTGGCTGTCTCGCACTATCCTGCCACCTTCAGTTGATGCAACACTCCTACTCTTTGCTTTCCAGCGCGTTTTGGAGAAACACACGCTGTATCAATCGCAGACAATCAAATCAATTACCATTAGCTTGTTGGCAGAGGGAAAAACAAAAACAAAACAACAACAAACAAACAAAAAAAGAAAACATGCGTGCACCTGACTTATATATGGCCCATTCAAGGGCGTCTGGAAATCAACGCAAGAGCTTTGCATCTGGAAATGATTTCAAATTATCCACCAATAGTCGACAGTGGAATCTTTTGCTCACCTTTGCTGCTGTCCTCTTGGTTGAGATGCATGACTCTTCTTACCATGTACTCATTTAGGCTGCCTTCTAACTAAGCTGTACGCTTCTCCAATAGAGTTGTCGACGTGAACTCTTATTCCAATTTATTTCTGCTCTCTTTGCCCGCCTGATGCGTTGTTCAACTGGCACACAGGGACGCGCCTGCACTTGTGCGCTGTGCGTCCTCCTCTACCGCCTCTCTCTTCCCCCTCCAGTTGGAGCAGGTAGTCTAGGTGAGGTTTGGAGTCTGTGTTGTGGCTCTGTCCGCTTTCTCTCCGAGTACGTTTATCGTCTGAGCCCGGATTCGCTCAAAGGACTGGTCGGAGCAGAGGGTTTAAAGGAGGAGACGCCAGGCAGACGGGTGGGGTGACGTGAAGTAAGTCAGTAGGAGGTCGTCTACTCGGAGAGGAGGCGAGGAATCCGCACGCCCTCGGATGCTGGCCGTTTTTATCAAAGGTCTTCATCACGGCACAACCGGACTTCACTTGGAGCTCCTCAATCAGGGGCCCATCCTGACATTTACGTAAACCGAAATAAACTGAGGCTTTCGTGTGTGTGTGTGTGTGTGTAGTTCTTTTCTTCTTTTTTTTTTTTAATACAGCCGATTCTTGCTCATTTAAGCACCAACAGGGAAGCGCAAAATCTGAGCCTCGTCACAGTCCCAACTGGAAACAGCGGGTGAAAAGCACAGTTCAAAACTGAACGACACGAATTCTTGTTGTCAGACCTGCATTCCCCTCTTATCCTGCCATTGGTTTCGGAACAGAGACAGTGATGGGCGATTCGTTGTGAGGATTTGTGAAAAGGATGCCTTTTACGCACAACCTGCCCAAGTCGTGCTTCAGATTTATTCTGTTGCTCACGTGCTGAGCCCGTTTAACGGTTTCATTGGAGTCATTATTGTAAGCAGCCGATGCGCTTTCATTATCATCATGATGCCATTTCAGCCAATAGCCCCACACAGCCGATAAGGAGCATTTACTCACGATTCACGTTCGCCCGGAGCTACGCGTGGAACGTGGCTCTCTGGCGATCTCTAGTGTTGCTCATAAATCAGCTGCGTTCATCTTGGTGTCAAGGACGGAGCTGTTACTGTCCAATAATAGAAGCTAATGAATATTAAAATACAAGAAGAAGTAGATTTATATATATATATATATATATATATATATATATATATATATATATATATATATATATATATATATATATATATATATATATAATAAAAGCAAGTTGTTTTTTTTTCTTTTTGCAAATAAAAGTATGCCTATCCTAGTAATATTCTGTAATTTGCTGAGGCTAGTATACATTTAAATAGGTCTACGAATTGCAGCTACCACAAAATGTTAATATATTCCATGCACGACACATTTTCTGTCAATAATATCTTCCTGGTCCTGCAAATGAAAATCCAAAACGACACAATTTGTACCATGTTGTTTGCAATAAACAACAGACAGTACAAAACAATCATCCAGGTCATTACAGTTATATGTTCTGATGACTGTGGGGACGAATGACCTCCTGTAGCGGTCAGTCCTGCAGCCCATTGACAGGCGTCTTTGACTCTGTAGATTTGTGAACTTTATGGATTCTGTTCCGTCCAAAGGTTTTCGGTTGACTGTGATCACTTGTTCTGCATGCTTGGCTTAAAGCACAGAGCAAGATGTGCAAACATAGGAAACAAAACAGCTTGCTTAATGAAATATACATCCACAGAATCTTTTTTTTCTTCTTCTTCTTCTTGTTTGTAGAAGGTCAGGCGTTGTTTTTCCATTGCCGAGAAGTTTACACTTCAAAAATAAAATCTGGAAACTTATTGTAGTCAGTGTCACAAAAGAAAATTGACTTTTCACTTTGAATACTGTAATATTTGTTTTTGGATCTTTTGTTTTCAAAGCCGTGTGACACTTGAGATGGTGCTTGTTAAGTTTCTTGAGAACAGTCAAGAGTTTGCAGGTCAATCTTTATGCAAATTGATTTGAATTTCAGCCATTGCAAACAGAACAACTAGATTTACATGAATATCTTAAAAGCTCACTGGCCAAATCTATGGTCTCCTAATACCTTTTTGTTTGTTAAATCAGTTAACAATGAATAAAAACAGAAATCAATTAGACATGATGGATCAGCTGATCTGAGGCCAGTTGACAATCTCAAATTATGATATTAATGCAATGTAAACATTGTGCCAGCTGATTTCAGGACACATTAAAGCACATTTAGCATTTAGGTCATTGTGACAAACAATTGGAAATAGAGGCTTGTTTTTTATAACTTGACTTTGACCACAGTAGTGTTTGTGTTTGGTTTATTTGTTTTTAAAGCTTGGGAGGACGCCATGTTCTTTCAAATGAATCAGCTTCAAACTGGGAAAACATCTGCAAACCAAGTGAAAAACAACTTTTGACATATAAAATATCAACAATAAGTTTTTTAAATGTCTTTTATTTGCAGTTAAATTAATAGAATAAATGAAATTATGAAAGAAAGGCTTTTGCAACAACTTACATTTATTCTTGTGCACTGGGTTTGTGCAATAACCGCATTACCCAACTGGAAGATTTCCTCATGTTTACTCAACTTCTCCCGTCTCAGTCCAGCTTTGAGATAAACACAGATACACACCTTGTTATGAAACAATATAAAAGACAATGATCGTTCTCACTTGCAGGACATTCTAAGGTTAAGGTTCTAGTGTGCGATCTGCTGCATCTGCGAAGTAAGTTAAGATTTTAATTTAGAGATAAATCTCAAGCAGTGTATGGAGAGATACCAATATTTGTAATTTCTTTTCTCTTTCTCTCTCTCTCTCTCTCTTTTTCTCTCTCTCTCACAGCATCGCTAGCCATGAAGCTGCTTTTGGCAGGAATTGTTTTGATCTCCATCATTGGAACTGAAGCTCAGTGGTACACATTTCCGATTGAAGCTGTTCAAGGTTAGAAGTGTTGTTCTGTTTACGCTTCAAATACGTCGTAGCCACACATTTAAAGTTTGGTAATTTCCCCTGATAAGGATCGTATGATATGGTTCGAGCCTATCTGCACATGAGAAAGGCCAGGTGTCCTAACGGGGACAAATACTAATATGCCAGAGGAAATGCTGATGCTGCGAAGAGAGGAAATGGAGGCGTATGGGCTGCTGAAGTGATCAGGTGAGAAGCACACAAGTAATACTGATGAAATTTTGGAAATATATACAGAGTGCAGCACTAATGGGAAGTTAGAAACATTGTTTTGTTAAAGCTTGATTAAAGCTTTTTTAAATTATTTTTATTATTATATTTGAACATGCTTTACAATAAAGTTTATTTGTAAGAATACAGATGTATCTTTTAAAAATACTGACTTCAAAGCAGATGTTGTACATAATTTTTAAGCCCAAATTTCTGAAATAAATATGTCTTAAATGTTTTACTAGCCGTCAGTAAATTAAGTTATTGCAATACATAAAGCGTTCAGTAATATTATAATACATCAAATGAATCTGCATATTTTGATTTTTTATTCCATATTTTTCTTCCTTAAGTACTGTTACTAGATTTGAGGCCAGTTTTAAAATACATACATATGCAATCTCATCTGATGATTTTACTGTCTTTTTCCCCACCCTGATGGTTAAAATGTGGCTCTTTGTTTCTTCCCTCAGTGATGCCAGAGAATGGGTGCAGGGAAACTCAGGCCGGGGAGCTGAGGACACGGAGGCTGATCAGGAGGCAAATCGATGGGGACGAGGCGGAGGAGATCCCAACCGTTACAGAGTCGACTGTATTCCTGACGATCATTAAAGAATACAAAGTTATAATAAATCTAATCAAACCCATGGCACACATTTTAAAATAGACAGACAGACCAAGATAGAGACAAACGGGACCACACGTAAAGAAGCAATAATTGTAAAAGTAAATGTATTAGAGAATGTGTAATATACAAGGAAAAGAAAACCACACTTACGAAAAATCGCAGATACAGAATCCACTACATGTACAAGTGTATTCAGTTTCAGTAAAAACTTAAATTTCACTTTTTGCATATGTTGCCTGAGAATCATATTGTTTTTGCTAGAGGTCTGCTGTCTGTTATTGTTAAAAGTGAAGCCATTTTAAAAAGGTAGAAAAGTTAATTAAAGTATTTAGATCTTGTAGAGGCATTACACAAATCAGTTGTGTTTAATCATTTTACTTTTACTGAAGGAACTTGCACATAGTTGGAGTACAGATGAGGTCTCCAGTGCTAATTTATGTCGCCATCTTTAGTCACAATGACGGCATATTACAAAATATTTCATTTTGTATTAATTCATACATGATTCAGGTGGAGGGGAAGCTATACAAGCTGATAACCTATCAAATTTATTCGAGTCTGACTTGTATTTTTTTTCCACTTAATTGTGTTTAATAAAAATTTCAAATAGTTAACTTACAAAAGGGTTTTAAATGTTTTTCTAATTTTAAATAAAATTCCTAAAGATACAAAACAGCTGTGATAGATAGAAGAACTGTGATAAAATGGTCTTAATAATAATGGTTTTAATAATAAAAATTATTATCAGAAGACAATATGGAACAAACAAACAAGAGTGCTTAATTTCTGAAGAGGTGTGATTGGTGACATGCAGAAAAGATAAACATAATAATTGGAATGCTATAAAGTTGAGTGCAGTGCAGAAAGCAGGGGGGGAAAGACGCTAAAATAAAATAAGTATAGCAGGAGCCAAACTAAAACACAAAAGGAGATACAATGCAAAACAGAAAAAAGTCACATAAGAGTCTAAGGCAAGATGCCCAGGAAAGACAACAAACAAAATAAGAAAGAAATTAAAAACATAGAAATTAAATTATGACAAAACTTTAATGGCAAAATTAAACAGCCAAAACATTATGAGAAAATTAAAAACAAAAGTCAAATAAAATACAAACCAAAACAATTTCCATAGTTATTGTTTGTACATAATTTTTTAGAATAGTTTAATACCTTAGAAATAAGAGGTCACATAACAGTGTATTAAATCTTAATGCAGAGAATCATATTAAGTCAAAAACAGGAGATAAAATCATTGAAATTGATTGCTACTTGTATTTCTACCACAAGGTGGCAGTGTTGGCCTGTAACTAAAATATCAAACTGACAAATATTGAACTGTCAGATTTGTTTTCTTTCTTACTTGCTTATTTGCAACAACATATGTCCTTTCCGAAAATCAAACCTTAAAATAGTCAGGAAAAAAAAAAAATCAAAGATCCACAGTAATGAATTAGCTAATCTTGAAAACAAAAAACTGAAAAAAGAAATAGCAAATTTGATTTGTGGATTTGTGCCAAAATTTTCAGTAAGTTGCTAACAATGCACTACAATTTAGCCTTTGATGGCTTCGGGTCAGTTTGCTCCTTTGCCAATAAGCACATACATTATATATATATAAAAACAAACAATAATTGAGAGAACAATAACTATAACTTGTACTTTTGTATGTGTGTTTTTCAAAATGTATCCCTCATCTATCAATTCCTCTTTCATGCAGTCTAATTCTAACTATGCAAGGTGACAACTACGCAGATTGGATCATTACTTAATTTAGTGACAATTAGCTACATTTAGATGTTAGGAACAGTGACCAAATCAGGAAAAGAATCAAATCAGGAAACGGCGAAACAACCAGCATCAGTCTTGAACAATTATTTAAAGGGCAAGTATTATGTATTTTTAAGTCTTATAGTGACATTTTATAGGACAATTAAGTTACATTCAATCAAGTTTGGTTACATTAAACATAACTTTAAAAAAAATGGCACCTTGAAATTGGCCTCTGTCTCTTTAAGAAGCTCCTCTCTTTCCAACACTTAACACCTCCTCACAACAATATTCCCACATTAAGCTATTTACAACCTTTCTTAGGAGTGTTGGACTGACAAGTGTCGGACAGACAGACTCGCAGTTCCACCAGGTGTTTGCTCATAACTTCTCCAGCTATTCTGGTGGAGCTCAGTGGGGAAGGCGCAGGGTATGGGTGCTCTGTGAGGGGGAAGCTCAGCTGGAGACAGCAGCACCAAGGAGGAGCTTTGTGGAAATGGGCAGCACATTGTCCGAGTGAGCGTTTAGGCACCCCCAAATGGCTGCCACAGGAGAAGGATTT